AGTTGAGTTGACTAATATTGAGTTGAATTGTGTTGAGAAGTATGTTGAGTTGAGGATGTTATTTGCGACTTGTGATGAATTTGCGAAATTGCAAATTGATGTGCAATTTGGTATAAAGAGAATTAAACAAGTTAAGAATGGAATAAATTATATTGTGACCCGATTTCTTTGTGTATTATGAATTATGTAGGGTCAGCTACAAAGGCGGACCAAGCATCTGAATACTGTGAGTAATAACTCTGTAAAGTTATGTTTAACTTTAGTTATTTTCTGATGATATGAGATGATAAGTTTCTGAAATGCTATATTTTTTATGAATGAATGATTGTCCAATTTTCTTTGAAATGTAATTGTGGTATCCTTAGCAGAGGCCCTCGCCCAGGGGACATAATACTATGGCTTATGGTCATGAGGCCTTAGCCTGGGGGTTAATACCGTGGCCTAGGCCCTCGCTCGGGGGAAAGAATACAGTGGCCCAGGCCCTCGCCCGGGAGAAACAATACCGTGGCCTAGGCCCTCGCCCGGGGGAAATAATACCATGGCCGATGTATGAGATATGTTACCCGGTACCGGAAGTTCCATTATGGAACTTGATATGCTTGACTAACATGATATGTTACGCTAAAGGAAGTACCACACATGATTTGAATATGAATATGAATATGAACATGTATTTGAATCTATTTCTGATTTGAAACCTGAATATGCATAAGACTCTGTTTTCGATAAGAATATGTTTCTGATATAATAAGAATATGTTCTTTATATAAGCTCTGATTTCTGACCCTGTGATGGACATTATTCATTTAAAAACCCTTTACTTTGTTATTATTCACTGAGCTCCATCTCACTGTATTATTTTATGTATATAGGCGATCAGGCGTGTGACTAGTCCTAGAGCTGCTGCCTGGATTATTCTTTCTGTCAGCCAACCTATGTGCCTCCCGTGGAGGTTCCAGACATGTATAGCGTTTATGGCTAAGTGCATAAAGTTTAAGTTTTGTCTCTTTGTTTGGTTAAACAAGTTTTCATTTATTTTGTAGATAGGGGTAAGTCCCTTTTTGTCTAGTTTGTATGTATATGACGTCGTAAGGGTGATGTGTAGATATGTTTATAAAAGTTTAAAATTTTTCTGTCTCATATAAGTCTGCACAGCGCAATGGATGTTGTATATTTGTTATTTGCTTCCCCTAGCCCCTACTATTATATTAATCTGTCTCAGAGGCCTTCGGTAATCTCAGGATTATTGGCTGGTTATGATGCTGAACCCATAGGGACGGATTCGGGTCGTGACAGTGGTGGCCTTCCAAATGTTCTATAATAGAGCAATCATTTACATTGACATAATAAGACAAAACATATCTCATTTATTTTGTTTCCTTAAAATTTGCCTAATCAAGGTTGTAATCACCAAATAGAACGGGTATTCTAAAATTCAAATTCACATCCATATAGATATGATTTATGGTAACATTCAATTTCCTATATATGGTTTTGTCATTATTTATGATATTAACTAGTAATATTGAAGGTAAATGTGTCAACAAATTTCTCACAGAACTTATGGGAACATAAGTTTTTTCCTATGACCATATGTAACATAAGTCTTCTAAATAGGACTTATAAATAATTTATCCCAAAAGTAAATATAAAATAATTGATTGAAGATATGCATCATTTGCTATATTCCATTTTCTGTGTGCCAAAAAAAAAAAATTAAAAATTACAATTTACATATATATAAATAATTGTAAATACAATCTCTGCATAATATGGTGAAACACTAGTATTGGTTAGACTAGAAAAGGGAAATACATTGAACATGAGTTTAGGCAAGGAGGGATATGATGAATGTAAAAGCAATTAATTACAATGTTTAAGGCTTGGAAAATCATTGAAGTATATTTATGTGTGATTAATGAACTTTTAGATGCATTATCTTATCAAAAATAACATCATTCTATAATGCTCCGATTTTTCACTACTCAATGTGCATAGAATGCATGAGTCCCTTCTCATGTGAAAGGATTGTATTCAATTTTATAATTAAATTCTGATTTTTTTTCTCATCATATGTATTTATATATACATATATATTTTTTAATACATTTTTCTTATTTGTTTGTGTTAAAATATGAATTTTACAAATAAATTTAAATTTCTTAATCTATTTAGATATGCTCATATAGCATGATGAATCAGCATATTGATATTATTCTTTCAAACTAATACAAGCATGATGAATCAGCATATTAATATTGTGCTTTTAAACTAATACAGATAGCAATTACGAGCAACTTAATGGATCAGATGTGAAATAAGAATAATTTCATTCTTTTTTCTTTTTCTTTTTTTGCATGGCATCATTAATTAAGAGCATATGTTATGGGAAGACTTTTAAACTACTCAACATTTTTATTAATTTTTACAAGATAAAAATAATATTAATACAAAAATTAATTACAAAATCAACCTCATACACTCCATACAACATGAGATCCACGAACATATCAACATTTTTTGTCCCATTTTGTGATGTACAAGACCTTTCTTGGACATTTCACCAGGACTACTTTATTTTATCTTGTTGAAGAGAGAGGATTTGGTTTTGACCAGAGACAGAGAGAGAGAGAGAGAGAGAGAGAGAGAGAGAGCATTAGATTGATTTTGACAATCACTGGAAGGAATGAAGAATCAAATGCATAGATTGGGCTCATTCCACTTGGATCTCCACAAACCCAAAAACCTTAAATTAAGCAAAAAGACTCTTCACCACTTGCTATTGCTAGCTAAGCCAGTCAAGTTTCTTTCCTAATTAGTTCCCTTCTTGAGAAACATATTAAAAATTTGAGTAAATTACATATTAAACTTTATTAAAAAAATATAGTAAATTTTATATAATTATATTTGACTATTTTAAAATTTTAATTCACATAATACGTAACATTTCTTTTTATCATAAATTCATTAATCATATAAACTAAAAAAATAATATTATAATCTATCTTATACTGAAATATATATTTTATCTTTACATTATATGCATTAATTTTGATCCTTCAACTTTGTTGGAAATTGATATATTTATGTGATTCATCCTTAAAAAATTAGTTGGGCAAATTGACAAACCATAATCTTATATTATTTTTATAATTTCTCATTACAAATTGACAAAGACATCATTTTAAGCCTGCAAGTCACCTTTTCTTTATTTTATTGCTTATTATTTTTTGATAAACCTATGATGTGGTAAAGAGTAAGGCTTATTTTGGGAAGATGGTAAAAAGTAACTTTTTGACTTTTAACTAAGTTTTTGGTTTTTTTAGACAAATGATTTGAAAAGTTGGTAAAAAGTGACTTTTGACTTTTTTCATTAATATTTGTTTATAATATCAAATCATAATGAAATGACCAAAGTATCCCTAGCCAATTGAAAAATTACATATTTTTACCCTTTCATTTTCCATCTATGGAGGGTAATTTCGTAATTTTTCTTTTGGCTTATAACCAACATCCCAAATCAATTTATGGCCAAAAAAAGTCACTTTTTGCGTTTTGACAAAAGCTAAAACGCCACTTATGACCAACATCCCAAATTGAGCCTAAGACAGATTGATTAATTTGGAGATTATAATGCAAAGATATCCCTTCCAATTTTACCATATTGCCCTTCTTTGTGATTTGTAATCTCCATTATTTAAATATAATTATTTCTTCTTCCAATTACTTGCTCCCAATTATGAGTTCATTTAACAGTATTGAGTTTTAGTGTTGTCAAATAATGTAAAACGAACCAGGGTGGTAGTTTAAGTGGTTATGAGGGAACATTTCGGTGCATAACACCAACAACAACAAAAAAAAACACGAAAAAGAAAAAGAAGAAGAAAAAGAAAAAATAAAGTGTAGAAAGAAAAAGAAAAAGTTGAGGTCTCGTTTCGAGTAATTTCTTTTTTTCTTTTAAAAAAAAAAAAACCATTTAACAATCTTTTTGTCATATGTTTAATTTTATCTTTTTATATAAAAAAAAAATGAAAAATTCAATGTAAAAAGCTCCTCAAAATTAAAAAATATTAATAATAATTACAAAAGTCACTAAAATGCCAAAATTTTATTAGTAAGAACCAAACAATACCTAATTTCACTAACTTAAAACTAACTATTGATGTCTTTTATCTTATCAATGATGATGACATTCAAATGTAATGGAAGGAAAGAAAAGGAAATATCCTTAAATATGAGATAAACAAAAAAAAAAAATAGTAATAATAAGAAATTAATATCTAATCATTGAAAGTGCAAGACACATGTTTTGTTTGTAGTTTATTTATTTGTAATTATTTGTTTATTTTTCATTTACTTAAAATATTATATTATTACGACAGTGGGTTTTATAGAGTCAATTTGCTACAAGTTTTTTTTTTTAAATAAAAATTAACAATGAAATTAAAAACATTCACTTCTCAACTCTATGATAATTAGTTTTTAAATTTATTTAAACGATTTTTATATAAAAAATTACACTAAATTCTAAAATACATAAATTTATAAATAATCTCAATAAACTGCAGCAAACATAATTGTATGATGAGAGAGATATCGGCCACTAAAGAAATAGGCAACAAACGAGGGGTTGAAGAGGTACAATAGTAATTTAATTCTCAAAAACTCTATGATAATTAGTTTTTAAATTTATTTAAACCATTTTTATATAAAAAAACTACACTAAATTCTAAAATACATAAATTTATAAATAATCTCAATAAACTGCAGCAAACATAATTGTATGATGAGAGAGATATCGGCCACTAAAGAAATAGGCAACAAATGAGGGGTTGAAGACGTACAATAGTAATTTAATTCTCAAAATGACCTAAAAATAGAAATTGCTTCTCCTATTTTGGGGAATTTACGAAAAACAGAAAAGGGCAAATTAGTAATTTTATATTTGACAGTTTGCTTGTCACCCTGTATCCCTCGTACATAAGCAAAAAACAGGCCAGTTTTATAACAGGTGTAGAACTGTAAAAAAAAGGGGAAGAAAATTAAGAAACTTTGCCAGAAGATCCAAGGAATTCTACTCTGGTTTTTCTCAAATTGATTCTCTGATTCCCCACAGGTGGGGTCAGAGGATCATCTTGTCACCTACCCATCATTTTCTTTACAAAATTTCACACACATATAGACACTTCATATATATGGAGTCTGTTGAAAATTCAAAAAACTATTTCATGGATTCAAGTATATATCTTTGATATAAAGCAGACTTGAGGAATCGCAAAAAGGGTGGGTCTGTTTTTGATTATCTTGAAATGGGTATCCCACAATCAGAAGGGAAAATGGAGGGTTGGCTTTATCTCATTCGCTTCAATCGATTTGGGTTGCAATATTCACGTAAAAGGTACTTCATTCTCGAAGATAACTGTCTCAAGAGCTTCAAATCAATACCCAATTCCGATAATGAGGTACTTGATTCATACCCATTTGCTTCTTCTTCTTCTTCTTCTTCTTTCTTTTTGGGTTTCCTCTCAATGATATATATATGGAATACTCTCTCTCTCTCTCTCTCTCTATATATATATATATATACATATATGTGTGTGTGTATCTGAAGGTCGAATTCTGTTCCCGCATGTTTAAATTTGATCAATTTATTTGTTGTTTAATGAGATTTATTGTGTTTTGTTTTGTTGGATTGCTTGTATTTAGTTTTTTTTCCTGATAAAAATACTCGGTTGTTTGTAAAAAAAAAAAAAAAATTCGTTGTGGTTTCATTGGTTTAAGCAAAGACATAAAGTTGGTGTTTTTGAGTTAATGATTTTGTGTTGTTGAGGTTGTTTTGAATTTTGTTCAATTTGGTTGTTTGATCATTGTTTTTGCCAACCTGTGTTGTTTGACTTTCTTTTTGGGTTTCCTCTCAATGATATATATATGGAATACTGTCTCTCTCTCTCTCTCTCTATATATATATGTGTGTGTGTGTGTGTGTGTGTGTATCTGAAGGTCGAATTCTGTTCCCGCATGTTTAAATTTGATCAATTTATTTGTTGTTTAATGAGATTTATTGTGTTTTGTTTTGTTGGATTGCTTGTATTTAGTTTTTTTTCCTGATAAAAATACTCGGTTGTTTGTAAAAAAAAAAAATTCCTTGTGGTTTCATTGGTTTAAGCAAAGACATATAGTTGGTGTTTTTGTGTTGTTGAGGTTGTTTTGAATTTTGTTCAATTTGGTTGTTTGATCATTGTTTTTGCCAACCTGTGTTGTTTGATCATTGATTCTATGATTTGTAAAGAAAAGCAACCGAATGAGAGAAGATTGAAAGCACTATAGACATGGTTTTAAAAAGAGGCCACGACCGTTGGCTTCGGTCATCACCAACCGATTAAGGCCGCTATAGCGGTATGACTGAAATTCACAGCCATAACAACTGCCACCCTTGCGTAAAGGTTGTTTTGGCTGTTACGCTTCTATTTTTTATATATATAACTTTATGTATATAAATTTTGTATATAAGGCCATGTTTTCTTAGTTTTCTTTTTTGTAGTTCTTAGATATGAGTTTATTTGCCATAAATTTATATATGATTAACAACAATTTTTTGTGATTTTTGATTCAGTCCAGAATTCCATTGATAATTACCGTAATTCCGTTGATGGGTTCTTATTCTACTTCTTCTTCTTCTTAATGATCAGGAGCCCTTAAGAAGTGCGATCATTGACTCCTGCATTCGGGTTACAGACAATGGAAGAGAAAGCTTTCATAGGAAAGTAAGCAGCTTACATTAATAATTATATATATATATTTGCAAAAGTGAAAAATAAACTCTTTGGTGGTCCGTGATATTGGAGTCATAACAGTGGTTGCAACGTGCAGGTGTTTTTCATCTTCACCCTTTGTAATACTTCTAATCACAATGATCAGCTCAAGGTGTGAGAATTTTCTTGTCAAGCTTGTCTATTTTTAAATGCACTATTATTGGCAATAAGCCTTTGAAATTTCAAAATTTTATAGTTTGGAGCAAGTAGTCCAGAAGAAGCAGCAAGTTGGATCCGTTCTTTACAAGACGCTGCGCTAAATCCAACAAATAATTTTGTGGCCTGTTCTAAAAGAAAATGGCAGCCTTTTAGGTATGTAGAGTTCAGCATGTCAATTTGACGAAACAATAGCTTCTCAATAAGTGTTCTTCCATTCTCCTTCTTGCAAGTTATTCAGCTTTGTACATTTTTTATTTTTATTTTTAAAAAGCATTGATATAGTTGAGTGGAGAAGAAAGATTCAAGTAGCTAACCCCATTTGATGGGACTTAGGGCTCGGTTTGGTTTGGTTTGGTTTATTGTTTATTTAGAAATACTTAGGATTAAAATGAAACTGGTAGAGATTGGCCTTCTAACTTCTATAATTGATTACCATACTTCAGTTGTGCAATTTTTGAATTTGAAGTGTCATGGTAATCAACCGTTGCATTTTATAATTTCCATGTGTAAATTACAAGTCTAAAATTATAATTTTTTCCATTTTTTTTTAAAGAGGCCCTCTGTTATCTCTGTTTAAAGTCTTTACCTTCTACATATACCCCCCCAAGTTAGATTCCTTTTTGTTTTTAATTTGGTTGTAGTCAGATCTCAGGTATTACCATTAAAATCTGTGTGTCTATTAAGTTGTCTGTTTTTGTCAGAGAGTCATTGAAACCATTCCCAAATAACAAGAATTTGATAGTTCTTTGAATTTAGCACATATTACATTCATCATCACATGTATTTAATTCTTCTGGCAGTTGTAGTCAGTCTCTCTGCATTTGGTAGATTTTAACAAAATATATTCTGTGCTCCTATTTATCTGCAAACCTATGTTTTCGCAGATTGACTGTTTCAAAGTCCCATAAAAACTCTGTAGACTGGACTTGTGCCTCATCCATGCATATGGCTGCAATGACATCCGATGTAATTGCACCTTCACCATGGAAAATTTTCGGTATTCAAAATGGTAAGTGTTTGGTTCCCTATTTCCTTATCTTGTGTATAAATAAAATACCTGGCATTCATATTTTGTCGACTCTGCAGGGTTACGGCTATTCAAAGAAGCAAAAGAAAGGGATCCTGGTGGGAGGGTAGGTTTTCTTTTTTGACACAGTAATAATATTTGATTATGATGCCTGTTTTTGTTGCTGAAATATGCGTTGTGCTCAGCATTGGCATGATCATCCAGCAATAATGGCAGTTGGTGTGGTTGATGGAACTTCAGAGGCTGTTTTTCGCACTCTTATGTCTCTTGGTGCTTCAAGATCAGAGTAAGGGGCTATTTTTGTTTTTAATATTACCGAATGCTATGTGACTGTTATGGTGATGATATTTTTAGTGGAAGGTGATAAGATTGCCCCTCTTGTTCATGCATGTGGTGTATTTGATTGTAATTCCGGGCAATACATCTTTCCAAACAATAGCTCTGCCTTGAAGTCCTTGTTATCTGCAGTTTGCTAAAGCTAATTCAAACCCACAACCCACTTGACTTGAATTAGCTCATTGCCTGCAATCCACTTTCCTGTTTTTGCCTAAGATATTCCCAATCACTGTTGGGAAAAAAATTGATTCACTTGTAAACTATATTCCTGTCAGCTAACAGTTACTTAGCTGCTAGTTGTGACATATGAGGTTTGCGTATCTATGTTTTTCATTTTTTTGAAAAGAGAACAGCAGGCAATGGTGTATGAGAAAAATAAATTATTTTGTTTGACACTTATCCCAATCTGGAAGCAATTCCACTCCACTCCCTATTGTTGGATCATCTTTGGAGAATTTCCAACTTTGAAATTCGCTTTGGCTTCTTGCATGTTGTCTTTCTGATAATGGACTATTCTTATTCCAGAGTTTGAACTACTAAATGTTTTGCAGATGGGACTTCTGTTTCCACCGTGCCAGCGTGGTTGAGCACCTTGATGGCCATACAGATATTGTTCACATGCAGTTCTGCAATGATTGGCTTCCATGGTCAGATTTTAAACCTCTTTAAACTGAACCAGTTAAGACATGTCCCATCGTCTAACACCTCATGGTTTGCAGGGGGATGAAAAGAAGAGATTTGCTCATGCGACGTTATTGGAGAAGGGAGGACGATGGCACATATGGTAATAACGTTTCAAGCTTATTCTGAAAATTGCTATGATTTAACCTATTATAATGAGGAGCTAACTTTCTTTTTCTGGTTCTATTACAGTAATTCTATTCCATTCTGTGTATAACAGAAAGTGCCCACCACAGAGTGGCTATGTCCGTGCTTGCCTTAAAAGTAATGTACGCTTTGAAATTGGAAATTACAAATTCTTCTCTGTACATATTTATGATGTTAGTTGCTTGCATTTTAGAACAATTATTCGGATGAAACTGTAGAATCGTTACTTCTATCATAATGTTCCTTTTCTCCATATGCACCCTGTCGGCTTGAAATATTACTCATTTACATCCTTGTTTTTTTCTTCAATGTTGCTATGACCTTGAAAATTGAAGGTATTGCTTTACATATTAATACTCGCTAGATGAATGGTGCATGCTCCCATATAGAATAAGCTCTTGAGAGTCAACACAATCCTCATATTAGGTTTTGTTACAAAAATAAAATAGTCCCAACTTTTACCGAGAAACGATAATGCTCTTATGCTTTGCTAAACTAATCCCTTGGTTCAATTTTCCCACACACTGTTTTGTATGCTAAACAATTTCCTTTGAATTCTATGATCTATTGCTGGGCTATGAAATTGTTTCTTTTCCATGTATGAATCTTAGTTTTTATTATCATACAGGTGGAGGATATGTCATCACTCCCGTAAACCAAGGAAAAGAGTCAGTTGTAAAACACATGCTTGCCATTGACTGGAGGTTCTGGAAATCCTATATAAGGAAAGCTTCTTCGAGATCCATAACTATCAGTATGCTTGGTAGAGTTGCAGGTACTATTCTACCAATTAAAAATAGCGGCACAATAATTTTCAATTAAAGTCTTTTTCCAATCTCTCTGTGTGTTTTTTAGCTTTGAGGGAGCTGTTTAGAGCGAAAGCAGGAAACTATTCGTCCTCGGAATTCTCATACGTGGAAATTACGAAAGATATTAGATTTCCTCAAAGCGAAATAGGGGATACCAAAACAGAAGTTAAAATCTCTGGAGATCTAATAAAGATAGAGGATGATAAAGTAGAACACGAGGTAGAAAATGTACTTTCTGGGACTTCAAGTCTGATGGGACTGAATGATGCAGCTGATGAGTTCTTTGATGTTCCCGAACCATTGGATGACGACCACTTGGAGAATTATTGGCCTTCTAATATGAGTCCACAGTTGCACTATCAGGTACTTTCTACTAACCAAACTTGAACTCTTTAAGTCTTACCTCCAAAAGTACCATAACCTAATTTTAATAACTTGGGATTTGGCTTCTAGTTGTCCTTGATTCCAAGTATTGTCTTAGTTATGAATAATATTTGTTGAATTGTCAAAATGCCCTTTTGATGTGAGCTAAATAAGCCAGCTTTTTGGCTTATTTGTCTAAATAGGTCAAAAAGCCAAAAGCTTGTTTATCATCAACTAAAAAAAGCTAAAAACCACTGAACTTTTCCCCTAACAAAAAAGCGACTTTTTTAGCAACTTTCCAAAATACATCAGTTTTTTTAGATTCTAAAAAAAGCCAAAAAGCCACTAAACACATCAGCTTTTTTAGATTCACTGTGGTTCGGAGTTAGTTTTTGTTTTGTCCATTTTCGTTTCAAACGAATACAATACTTCTCATTTGATTTTATTTAGAGGTTGTGACCTAGCGTGGTGGCAAGTCCCAACACTGCCATGGGTTGACACATTATATCTCTTATATGTTCAGGATAAATACCACCCTAAAGTGTCATCGGCTGCTGGTTTTGTGAAGAAGTTACATGGTCTTGCTGGTGAGTCCTGTTAAGATAACTGAGCTCTCTTAAATTGATGACTTGATGCAGAAATTGAATATTTTTTTTCCCTTTTTCTTTGGTGCAGTTCCGAAGAAGGGTTATATGGATTTGCAAGAAGCGAATTGGGAAGAAAATGTATCGTGTTACCATGGGGCCACTCTGGCAAAAGATCCCAGTTGTAATTTGCCTTGCAGTTGGACAACTGGCGATCCTTCATTATTTCTAATTCGAGGAGAGACTTATCTACAAGACAATCAGAAGGTTCCTTTTCGGTTCCAGTTGTTGCGTATGAAATAATTTAAAATTAGAATTCCAAAATGGAATTTTACATGTTTAAAATATTTAATTACATTTGTTGATATTAGAGGCTATGCATGATAAGTTGAGAACTTTGTTGCATACTTTGGTCAAGTAAATTGATTCTTGGACTATATCGCACACTAAATTATATGACCAGACTTCACATGTTAAAACAGTTGCCTAATATAATGATATTCATTTCTTTTGTCCAGATTAAGGCCAAAGGCACGTTGATGCAAATGGTTGCTGCTGATTGGCTCAGATCTCACAAACATGAAGATGATCTTGGTAGCCGTCCTGGAGGCATTGTTCAGGTTTGCTCTATGACTCCTAGCATTCTTGTGATAACAACTTCATAGTAATCAATAATTATCTACGAGAACTACCACGCTCTCAAAAATACACTTTCACATTACCAATTAAAAATTGTCCTCACACAAGCCTTATTGGAAATGTGCAGAAATATGCAGCACAGGGTGGACCGGAGTTCTTCTTCATCGTTAACATACAGGTACATGTGACATTGTCGCCATGTTTTTCAATTGGCTCATTTACTTATGGTGAAGAGTGTCATTGATTAGATTCCGGGTTCAACTGCTTATGGTCTAGCACTATATTTCATGACGAAAACTCCTTTGGAAGAAACTCCTATACTAGAGCGCTTTGTTAATGGAGACAACGCCTATAGGAATTCGAGGTTTAAGCTCATACCGTATATTTCTAAGGTCAGTATACTAGCAGTGGAATCAATCATTATGCCACTAATTCTGTTTGTTTAATGTATGAAGCCAATTTTTATTTTTTTATTTTTTTCAGTACTTGTTTTTATTTGTTATTTTTTTTAAGGTTTAGTATATTTTTACTTCTAATATATGAAATCACTGAGACACTTGCAATGCGGGTGATTTAATTGATTTTTTATTTTTTATTTTTTATTTGAATTTTTTTTTTAGGGGTCGTGGTTAGTAAAGCAGAGTGTGGGGAAGAAAGCTTGCTTGGTAGGTAAAGCACTAGAAACACATTATCATCAGGGAAAGAACTACTTGGAGGTAACAATACAAAATCATGTTAGGATACATCTGCTACTGATATTGAGATTTTAAATATCGGCCGATACATATTGAGATTTTACACTTCTGCTACTGATATTCACCGATATATGATGACATTACCGATATCAATACGTATCCTAATATAGTTATTTACTGTGAGGTACATTTCTTTGATACGCTAACCTTGAAAGTCTTATCTGAAATTTTCAGGTTGGGGTCGATGTGGGGTCATCAACAGTGGCAAGGGGCGTAGTCAGTCTTGTTCTTGGGTACCTAAACAATCTTGTTATAGAAATGGCATTTTTAATACAGGTAAAAAAAACCGATACTCTTGTATTTATTTATCATCTCTCATTGATTCTTTTTTTGGTTGAGAGGGGTGACTATAATTGAGCGGCTCTACTTAGTCGGACAAAATGTGGACTTTATGGTGCAAATAGTTAGGTCTATTTGGTTGTATTTTTGTTCTGTTTTCATTTTCTGAGGGAAGAAAAAAAAACTTGTTTAGCAAATTGTTTCCAAAAATGTCTTTGAGAAAATTTTCCTTAAAAAACCACACTTCATAGAAACTGGCAGGAATTTGTTTCTGAATTTTTGAAAATTGTTTTTTGACAAAAATGAAAACAATATGAAAATAGTAGGTATTTTCGAACCTTTCATTGTTCTTGTTTTCAAAAACAAAAAATGAAAATACAATCAAACAGACACGTTCTTTGTGGGAGAAAACCATTTTGGCATGGATCTTTTGTATATATGAACTTTGAACTTTCTTTTTGCAGGCTAACACACAGGAGGAGCTCCCAGAATGTCTCCTCGGAACGTGTCGACTTAATCATCTGGATATTGCCAAGACAGTTGTAGTAACACCTTGATTATCATCAACCTCCCAGATTCTACATTTAACTTGTGGGTTTGCACTGGGCAGTAGATTATCGAAAATCCAGTAAAAGAACAGATTTTGTGGCTAGAACAATCAAACGATTCTCATGAATACTCACATTAACGTATAGGGTTCGATCAAGACGAAGACAACAAATATGCAGTGTCTAAATTTTTTGGGTGGGGCAATTCAATTTGTGAAGTTCTCTCTTCTCTCTCAATCATGGCTCTACATTTTGGTATAGTTTTTGTCATTTATGGCACAAATTATTATTATTATTGTTATATAAACCGAACTAAAAGCAAAATAAGCTTGAAGTCCCATCAAATGGGGTATTATTATTGTTATATAATTAAAATATTTAGCAAAGCAGCATTTTGTTACACTGCTGGAAGTTTTGTCATCAATGTTTATGTAAGCAGAATGCAAATTAAATTTTTGAAAAATAAATTTGAGTAGCAGATCAATTGGAAATTCATATATTATACCCCACTATTTTTTTTTTTCTTTTTTTTTTTTTGCAGATGGACTCAATTAGCTGTTTGATTGTTGAATTTAGATGTATCAGTTTAGTTTTTCAATTCTGTACTGATATTTACAGACTGTTTTTTTTTTGCTAAAAAGAATATTTAATTGAATAATCAATTTTGTTAATTAAGCTAAAACAGTATGGTTTTTTTGTTTTCTTGTTTTTTTGATTTGTGTACATGGTGATGTTAAAACATCAAAATACACTTAAGCAAATGGATTATTTTTTAGATCATGAAAATCAAATTAAATGCCTCAAATTTAGAGTTTAATAGACATAATTACAATTCAAATTTACCTTGCCAACTTAACATTAGTGATAGTAATTATTGGGGATCAAATGTCTTATCTGCCTTTTCATAGCCCATTGAAAACCCCTAATTGGGATTTAATCATTTGAACCAAAGTGGTGTGTGGGGTTGTAAAGTTTGTGAATCATATGCTGAATTGATCACAGCTCAAAATCCAGCACTAACCCAATGATTTACCACAATCCCATCAAGAAATGATTGCAAATTTGCAGTTTGGAGAATTTTGACAAGAATTGATTTCAATAATAGATATGCTAATTAATGCTTTATTCTTTTTTTGCAAATATATATATATATATATTTAGTTGCGACTTTAAAATTAATATATTACTGATTCAAATAGTGATGGTTATGGAAGTTTTGTAACTTGGTTATGATATTTTTTGTTACACCAATTTATAACGAGATTACACATTTCGTGGTTGATATTATAAAATTTTATGATAAAATTACACATTTTATGATAGAGCTACATATGGTATGCACCTCTAAAAGGTGGACACTATGGCTAGGTTTGGCATAACCTATATAGCCTCCGTTTGGAAAGTGGGTTGGCTTTTTGGCTTTTTGACTTTTTTAGCTATTTTAGCTTGGGCTAAAAAGTTTGGTTTGGAAAGGGAAGGGCTTTTTGGCTTTTTTGACTTTTTTTGTGAGAGAAGAATGTAATGATTATGGGTTGGATGTGATATTTTGTTTTTTGTGGCTAAAATAGCCTATTTTGTCTTTTGTGGCTAAAATAGCTAAAAAAACCCCGTTTAGCTCTTGCCAAACGGAGCCATAATCTATCTTTTTATCTTTTTTTCATCACATCACCTCTCTACTTTTCTGCACATCTTTTCGTAAAAAGATAAAAAGTGTACTTTTTTAGGACACCCCAAACCAACCTTATAAGAGAACCCACAAGTTTGCTTAGAGTCTGGCCCATTCAAATTTGATCTAGCTTGGGAGGCCCAAACCAAGTTTACTTTGGGCTCTTGAGATCTAGGCCCGTATGAATTACCGAAAACTAGATCCAGTTAAGCCGGTGAAATGTAAGCCCATAATTGGCCTTTGGGATCAAGGCCATTTTATTCCTACCAAAAAAAAAAAAATTAAAAAAACAAATGAAAGCCTTTGCTGTTTTATTATCTTTGATAGAGATGGAAAATATATTTCAAACTACATAAAATTTTAAAAAATCAAATTCTAAAATATTTATCATAAATTCAGCAACCAACATGAATTCCCTCCCAAACAAGAAAAAATATTCAAAATAGAAAAATTAAAAATGATACCATTCCAGAATAACAAACTCAAAAAATCTTGAAATTTCACATCAATGGTCAGAATTCACTTAGAACGTGGCCTCGCAACCCTAATTTTCAATATACACCAGTGATCCAAAAGAAAACAGTGATTAGAGGCTCTAAACACACCTCTAATGAGTTGGAAAAGGAAAAAAAAAAAAACAGACAAAACACTAACAGTGGCAGTGGGTGAGACCCACTGTCACATCACTAGTGGCACCTCTAATTAGAGGTCCCAAGCATTTTTGAAAAGAAAAATGATCTAGACCCCCATAGATGGTGGTGACCCCCACGACCTCCTCTGGCCTCTGATTGGTCAGTTTTTTTTGCTTTTTTTTCTTATTCTCCAATCACCAACCCCCACGTATGTGTAGGGGTGGTGTTGAGAGGAGGGGTCTCAATCACCACTGGATCCAAAATTCATAGTAACTTTCTGGACATTTTCTTAGGACCATTTTTTTTTTTTGATAATTAAAAATAAAGTGTAGTGTAGATTCAAAATTTGTATGATGTGAATTATACCAAAAAAATATGGTCTACACGTCATTTCCCAAAAAAAAATTCTATTTTTTGCTTGCTTGTTTGTTGGGAAAATTATGGCAATAATCCATGTACTTTGGTCCTTGTATCATTTTAGTTCATATAATTTCAATTAACTCGATTTTAATACTCAATTTATGACTATATCTCAATTTGATTCAATTGATTACAATTCTTAGCATTTTTATTGAAAATATGCACATAAGTGTCATGTGTTATATTTTTATGGATAAAATCATAAATTTATTCAATTCAGTGAGTTAATCTCAACTAATTTAATGATAATTTTCCTTATAAACACTAAGATGTCGTTTGGGATGTCGGTTGGGTTGGCTTTTTAGTTAAATTAGTTATAAAAAGACAAAATAAGCTTAATATTAAAATAAAATGTCACGTCCATACCATAATTATTTCACTTTTTCTCTCACAAAATTTAAAAAAAAAAAAAATCAACTCAAACGAACTTTTTAGCCGGGGTTAAAATAGTCAAAATGTTAAAAAGTCAAAAAGTCAACTCAACTTCCCAAACGAAGCCTAACAATATTATTGATTGGAGCAAAATGACACAAAATTTAAAATAAATTTGGTCAATTTTGGCAATTGGGTTAAAAGCCAAAAAGTTAATTTTTTGACTTTTTTTGTCACATCACCTCTCCACTTTTTTATACTTTTTTTAAAAAAAAAGTTTAAAAAAAAAAACTAAAAAGTTGACTTTTAATCTACTTTTTAAAATTGAATCAATTGAAAATATATGAATCAAAATAACATAAGAGATAAAATATAGAGAGACTGGTGTAATTTATCCGTGTTCGTTTGTGTGTGTGTATTTTTTTTTTTTACTTGGTAATGTTGTTGAAAATGAAAAAATATGATGCAAAATAAATAAAAAGTTTGTCATATACAATGCATCTTCTTGTTGTGGATGTGGGATGCCACTCTTCACTGGGACAACATTTCCATCAAATTAATTGGACTCTCATGCTTGTTTCCATGGGTAACCCAAGCCTTATTAAGAGGAGAATTGGGATACAATAACTTATTAAAAGATAAAACAAATTAAAATAATTAATAAAATAAAATATCATATTCAATCTATAATTATTTTTTTACTTTTCTTTACTACAATCATCAAATCAAAGATGTGGGATGCCACTCTTCACTAGGACACATTAGGGTGGCCGAGCGGAGGGACCGACCGCGAAAGGTGGCCGAGTGAGAAGGGGAAGTGGCCGTGCGCGGGGCTCGAGGAGAGGCGGGGGGCGGGGGGGAGAGGCAGAGGCAAGGGGCGGAGGCAGAGGCGGGAGCTACAACGATCGGAGGCGGAAGCAGAGACGGAGGCAGAGGCAGAGGCGGGGCTGCGACAAGCTGCGACGATTGGGCAGAGGCGACGGCGGGCGGGGCTGCGACGACGAGCTGCCATCTCTTCTTCCCCTCTCTTCTCTTTCTCTCTCTCTTTCTCTTTCTCTTCTAAATTTCGGGCTGTTCGGAGGGACAAATTCCGGGAAAAAAATCATTTTATTATGAATATATTTTTTTTATTATAAAGCAAACAACCACGGTGATATACAAGAAATCAACTCAAACAGCTTAGGAGTATTTTCACATCCTATTTAGCAATTTCAATTTGTAATTATCAATTTAATTATTTCATTCCAGAACATGTCATCTGTGCCAACACTTAGTTGTAATTCATAATTATTAATTTTTCAAATTACAGAAAACAATATATACTTTAATCAAACCTTAAAGATATGTTTGGTTGGGGGATTTAGAAAATGAAAAAAAAAAAGTATGTGAAACTAGGTGAAATATAGGCATATTTTATTCACATTTTATCTACCATTTTCATTTCCCTTCTTAAATCCCCTAACCAAACACAGTATAAAGAGTGTATTTGTAATTGGCATTGGCTTCCCTCCAGTCCAATCACAGACTGGAGGGTATTGTTAGGTCTGGGTGGACTCACTACAGGTCCCGTTTTGATAATCTAAACCGTTAATGTGTAGAACTCGTCGAGTACTACATATCTGTAAAAAATCACGTTGATCGAATATCGATAACTATGTGATCAAATCAGTTTTCCGTCAACTGTTTATTTTTTCACTATTCATTTTTTTTATACAAAACAGATTTGATCACATAACTATCGATATCCAATACAGATATATAGTACTCGACGAATTCAACATATTGAACAATTTAGATTATCAAAATGAGACTCGTAGTGAACCGCCACAAGTCTAACAATACTCTCCAATCTATGTCAAACTTGAAGGAAGCCAAACTTTTGTAATTTACCTTAATAATATATATATATATATATAGGATGAATCATTGTTGTATATATGATAGAAAAATTGAAAGCGTTGTTCTTACGTAGATGTAATGTCTCACAGATCATTGATGAGTCACACCACCCCACCCACGTGGCACGTGCCCACATTCAAAAGGTCTCTCCTTTTATTTTCCAAAACAAACTTCTAACCAAAAATATTTCGCATGTTACCGTCGCTTTCATGTCCCTGTTTCCGCCTTTCCCGCTCCAGCGACGGTGCTCCTTAATTTTTTAAATTATATAATTTCTTTTTTTTTTTAAATAAGCAATTAATCAATGATTTTAAGTTTTTTTTTTTTTCTTCGCATTCTTAATAACTGCCATATTTTCACATTTTAAATTTTTTTATCAGTATGATATATTTTCACATGTCATATTAGTAAATTGGTTATGTTTTGCATTTATTTGTTTTTTCACTCTATATTTGTAAGAAAAATTTGTCAAAAAAAATAATTATTTGTAGGACATTTTCCCATTC